ACCTTTTAGGATACCCTTTAGAATACCTTATAGGATGCCCTATAGCATACTCTATAGCAAAGTTGACTGAAATCAAGACAATCAGGAGCCCAAGATCTGAGAATTCACCAATTAAACGTGAGCTCATTGAACAAGCGATTTCGAAAAAACAAACCGGGAACCTAGGAGCATTGCCTTTAGAATACCTGACCGAATACCCTTGCTACAAACCTTAAACACATTCATATAAAACAAGGTGATACCTTATAGAATACCCTGCAGACCTATATGTACACCACCTGCCTATATGCACACCCTGAAGACTGCCTTACACAATACCGTATGGAATAATTACCTTGTAGAATACCCAACATAATGCGCTATAGAATACTTTGCATAATGCCCCCTGTATATAGAATACTTTATATAATGCCCCCTGTATATACCGTATGCTATATAGAATGCTACCTGGAATTTTTTCCGAAGCCATACCGTGAATCGACTGTGCGTCAACTTCAAGACACGGCGTTGGCGCAGCACAAAGGAGGCTTACCCTCTGAAGACGCTTTAGAATTCTCTTTGCACACTTGCATTATAGATGAAATTATCCTGTACCGGGGTTTCTTCATAAGATATTCTGCCAAGCGTCTCTTCCCACACAATCTTCTTTGTGTGGTGTAGCAATGTTTGCCGGGGCTTCCCAACTCGCTTCTTGCCGTAATCAATTCTATTGGCACTGCTGGGCATAAATGATACCTGTCTTAAAGGATCTGAATTTGCACTACGAAGTATATGACCTAAAAGCTTTGCACGTCGTAAATTATGGAACTCACTGAATAAGAGTATCTTTCGCTGGTCGTCCCGGCTTGGGAATGCTATCATACTTGCTTCTTCCAGAAGCTTTGCATTAGTATTTGTACGGTCTATATAGGTGTGAGCTCTGTTTAGAATCTTGCGAATGCCCCTCATTTGGAAAGCATTAGGCTTCTTTGCCATAGCAGAGGTTAAGTGGATGGTTTCTAGCCCATAAAGTAGTTTGCTGCGGATGATGGCATCATAGACTATAAGTTTCCATCTCTTGCTAGCTTGGGTTGCTTTCCAATAAGGGTTTAATTTGATCCAAGTGCGTCTTACCTCTTGTAGCTTGTTCGCGATTTCATGACGAATATTAACCTCCCTGTTAATTTCATTACCAAGATACGTAGCTTCGTATTCTGTGGATAAGGGCGTGCCATCTTGAAAATGTATGGAGCCATCGTTATTCATGGGTATTGCGACGCACTTGTCTCTATTCAAACGGAGTCCATACTGTTATGAAATCCTCTCGGTGAGACATAAAAGTTCGTTGAGACCCCTGTTGCTTTGGGAAAACACAATAGTGTCATCAGCATAATAAACCATGTCAAAATCCAAACCTGGAGCTCTATTATTGATTACGTGACCAGTGATGGAAGACTGAATATCAGAATCAATGCACGACATAACCAAAGTGAACAAGAAAGGGCTCAACGGGCATCCTTGTCGTATGCCGCTTCTTTGCTCCTTTATTGTTGAACTACCGAAAGCGTCCTTCACAAAGAATGTCGGCTTTCGGTAACAATCCGCGATAACATCTATGTAATGCTGGCTGAAACCTAATCTGAATAAAGCAACCAATAGCTTATCATGTTGAATCTTATCGAAAGCCTTCTCCCCATCGAGTAATGCGATGCTTAACTTAGCAGCTTTCGACTCTGCAAAGTCCTGTATACGTCTGATAATGTAGATGGCATGTGAGTTGGACTTGCTCGGTCGGAAACCGTACTGCGTCCTTGTTAAAAGGTGCTCGACCGAATTCTGCATTCTGGACCTGATCATCATCATATACACCTTGTAGATGCTATTTAATAAAGAAATCGGCCTATAACTAGAAGCAATATCAGTATCTCCTTTCTTGAAGATCGGAGCGACCTGCGCCAAGAACAGTTCTTCGGGGGCGGTCTTGTTGGACCACCAGCTATTGATTAATTGAAGTAGAATATCTCTATTCGGCGCATCGAGCCACTTCAAGAGCTCTATGATGATCCCGTCAGGTCCCGGCTGTTTATTACATTTTGCTGCTTGTAAGGCGTCGTTCAGCTCTGAAATAGTGAAAGTTGACTCATCAGCAAAATTGTTGTCAACAAGTTTTGTCCTGCGTGGCTGTCCGTCAGCGTCGTTTTTCCACTGTTCTTCTTCCAAACAACTTGCAACAGTTTCTGCCCGAAGGATCAACGGAACGTGCTTGCCATGTTTGTTTTTCATTTTAACATATTGAGGTGTGAACTTTCTCTTCAAACTTCTGACTGCTCTCCATAATCCTTTCTTGTTTGGGTCCATAGGGTTTTCATTAAACTTCTCCATCAACGAGGCTTGTTTATCCATGTTAGCCGATTTTGTGATATCTTTATTAAGTTGTTTCAGTTCAGCAGTTGTCATACCGTGTATTCTTCCTTGGTTTCGTTGTTCAATCTTTGCCCAAGTCCCCCTACTAATGTATGATTTTTCTTGTCTCGTGGGATTTTCTCTACATGTTTATCAGCTGTTAGAAAATGATTCTAAGCAAAGTGATTCACGATTCATTGCATGCTGACTATACATGTTGTAATTTTTCCATTTCTCCACATTGGGTTTGTAAAAACGTATACTTCTTTCTTTGTTTTTTTGTTCCTGGCATAATCCTTTGATCATGATCCGGCACTCCAGCACAAAATGGTCAGAATCGAAGAAGATGATTTTTCGGCTTTGTGCATCTTTTATCGTTGTTCTCCAAGCGTCTCCCGCTAACCAGTAATCTAATTGAGCAAATTTGTGTGCGTCGTATGGGGGTCCTATGTCCAAAATGTCTTCTTGCTGAGCACACTTTTCTTTGTACGTCAGTAATTTTTCAGGTGGTTTCCGGAATTGTGCGTTCATTATTTTCAATGCATGAATTTTGCAAAAGCCTAAAAATAGCGCCCTGCTTTCTTTCGTACTTTGACTCATTCCATCCAAATAAGCCATTCCTCTTCCCAGTATGTGTGGACCGCAAACGTCTTTGTCTATATTACGGACATAGTGCAACCTGGCATTGAAATCGCCACCTACATAATAAGAGCCCTTAGTTTGCAAGATCTCATCTGATAATAAATCATAAAAGCTTTCTTTTTCTTCACGAGCATGTGCGCTATGTGGTGCATAGATCGCAAAAAAAGAGATGTCTGAGCCAGAAGCGGCGAAAGTAGCTTTCATCATTCTGCCGCTGATCTGTTTAATGTCGTTTAATGAATTTACGAGCGTACCGTTAAGAACAATCGCAACGCCAGCATTCTCGAAGTCCGGAGCATTCCGAAAATGTGTGTATGTGGTAGTTCTATCTTTTTTTGCCTGTAATTTGTTTTCTTCCTTCCTTTTCATTTCTCTCTAACTTTAGGATCAACGCTCGAGCTAAGAAAACAATAATAACCATCCCAAGCTTCCCAACTGCTTGAATTAACATTAGTTTCACTCAAAAGCATGATATCATAGTGGTTGCGTCGCATAATGTTAGGGATTATCTCTCGCTTCGTGTTATTGTTTAATCCACGAACGTTTAAGCATGCAGCTCTGATGCAACATTGGTTTGCCAGCTTCTTAGCTTGTGGTGTAGGTCCAACTGTTACAATTCTTGCCATTTTATGTCTATGAAATTTACAATAGTCTTTGAACTTTATTTTCAACATGTCCTTATTGTTTCGGAACCATTGCTTACTTTTAAGCTAAATTTTCCATTTTTGTAGTGGTGAAAATGTTTTGCGTTTAGAAACGTTGGAATTTTTGAGGTGCTCCTGTGCTACCTTGTTGGCTCGTCCCCAGAGTTTTGTTCGTTTGAACCAACGCCATAACGATCTATGGAGTCGCCTTCTGTAGTTTTTCGAGCCATAGCTGGAGATGTAAACTCGGTCTTGATTTTGAACAGAACTCTGGGGTTGCTTCGTCTGCACATTGGGCAATGTCCCGGGGCACCGTCTGGAAGGTGCATGTTGCTGTTGTGTTGTGTTGTTTTTTCCGGTGCAGCAGCTGTTTTTTGCCAACCCCTTGACTTGTGCAAGGGGGGATTGTTGCCTCCATTGTTGCCTCATGTTGTTTTGCCGAAAATGCGCAATCGAGTCACTCATTTTTGATTTCATCCTCATCAGCTCCTTCCTCGGTTCTGGCACCGGCAAACGTGCAAACGTACGGAAATCTGCTATAGTCGTTAAATCTTGGGTGGTCTCGATGTGCAACGCGCCACGCTTCATGCCAGTTTGTTCGTACGACTTCAACGAAGCTCTTCTGGAGAACGATTGCAAGTACACCTTGGTCTTTGTCATAGGTTGCTTTGGCCACTGCTGATTTGGTGTTCAGGTCAAAGATCTGCTTGTCCGAAGGTCTGTGCGAGAGCTGGTCCTTTCCTGCATAGCCCGTCTGTTCACTGGAGGTCAAGGTGTGCAAAACCGTGATGAGCGCGAGGTTTATCGTCTGGTCGATTTTCCCCATATCGTTGGCGATGACCAGCTTGTGCCATCCACCTTTCCAATGCTGCATGTAATTGCCATACGAGTCCCAGTAATAGAGTGGTTTCTTCGCAGAAAAGCTCGTGTAGGCAAACTTTTCAAACATCTGATGCGCATCTTGGTCTTCAAAGGTCAGAATGGTAACTGGTGAGAGAACAAACTTGCGTCCAGAAGTATAATACCCATGCTCCTGCTTGGTATATTGTTGTACATGAGCTTGCTGTAACAGCCAATCAGTAACTCTGACTCTGTCGTAGTATGTTGCACGCTGCGGCCACGATTTGATGATCATCTTGAGGGTAGTGTACTTGGCCTCACGTTCGAAAACGATCTCATGCGTGAAGTCTGAAAGGCCTCTGAGGTCGTCAATCTCTTCATCGTGTCTGTTTGCAATCTCTGTCAACCTGTCAAGCTGGGCTTGCATGTTGTTCTGCTGTCCTTGTACATGTTCAGTTGATGTTGCTCCCGTAGCCCGCCATTGATCTAACTCGTGCTTCATCTGCAAGCTGAGGTCCTTCATCTGCTGTATGAGCTGACGCGTCTCCTTGTCAACCTCTCTCTTATTTTTCTTCTCAGTGGCTTCCGTAGTAGCGTCCGTCTCTTTGTGGTGTAGCAGCAATTTCATACAAGGATTTCGATGATGTTGTAGATCTTTTCCTCCATATTCTCCTTGGGTTTGTTGTCTTATGCGCGTCCATCTCAACATCGTGCTTGTCCAACATCTCCTCATCATCTGCCTGCTGATCTGTAGGAGGTTTGTTTATGATCTCGACATTCTTCTCTGACTCCTCTTGTGCATCCGTCCTCTCTTTGATCTTCTTGTCTTTGAGGTGAGGTTTCTTGACTTGTGCCATCTGCTGCTGCCGACCGGGTTTGAACTAGGGGGCTCTCCAATCAGTTCGAGCCCAAACCCCTTGCTACCTGGAATACTTTATAGAATACTGTATAGAAAACCCCATGTCTGTGAACCGCCTTTCGCGGATCTCATTGTCGGAAAACGCAGCGGTTCGACAGCACCAAGTTTTCTGAAACGACACCCTTCGGAAAAGTTGATGCTATCGAACCGCCCCTCCTTGTTGTCTGTGTTTGCAATGGATACCAAAGCGGTTCGACAGCACCATTTTTTGAAGCAAACCCTTCGGGAGAATCTGGTGGTGTCTTATGGTCCGGAAGACGCAGCGGTTCCGATATCAGCACATTTCTGAAACGACACCCTTCGGAAACTTTGGCACTATCGAACCGCCCTTTTTTGTTGTCCGAAATTGCAACGGATAACACAGCGGTTCGACAGCACCAATTTTCAGAAGGAAGCGGGTGAGGCGACAACACATACAGCTCCCGTATTTGGCATTCATTGGACAAGTAGCTTTAAGAATATACCAAACCTATTGATTTCAATAGGGGCTATTGAAATCCATCTTGCTGTCGGATTGAAGATTGAAGATGCCTCAGAAAACTTTCGCAGGGCATCTTCAATCTTCAATCTGACAGCCCTATTGAATTCAGCAGGGCCTATTGAACTCAATAGGGTTCACGGACTGTGCGAAGAGGATTCCAAAGACAATCGCCTGTCAACTATCGTATGTAGCATTTGTATTACTGCACACGTACTAGAGTTCAGTATACACATACACGCACCCGGAGTATCTTGTGAAGTAAGGGGGCGAGGGTCAGGGGCATAACAAACAGGATTTACACTTAAACTGGTAGACAACTCGAGGGTACCTTATATACATATATATATATACATACATACGCTCATGCATACATACATACATACATACATCCATACATACATACCTACATGCGTACATCTACACAGATGCAGAATTAGTTACATACGCATATACACATGCCCCTGCCTATACAACCGCATATGCATAAGCATGTGCATATACGCATGTATGTACCAATACACATGCATACATATATCTATATATACATATATATAGAGAGAGAGACTTCTGTATCTGTATCTATATCTATCGATCGATCTATCTATTTCTCTACCTTTCTATACATGCATAGGCATATACATATATACAGATGATATATATATATATGTGTGTGTGTGTATGCAGTATCTTATGCATATATATATATATGTATTATGGTTGCAGCCCGTAAGTCGAAAATCCCCTTGCGCTAGTATATATGTCTAGATATATTTGTTTGTATACATGTGTAAGTATAAATAAATAAATACATACATACATAAAATACATATATATATATACATATTATGCAAACAAACAAACATACATACATACATGCATGAATGCATGCATACATGCATACATGTGTATGTTTACACGTATTGGCTTGAATCATCAAGCACTGCCAAGTCGACTCATGCTGACATATGGCCAGCAACGCCAAAGCAGACGTTCTGCGCTTCTTAGTATACGAGTGTGCTGGCTGGCTCTTGCTCTTTTCTGCTGCTTTCGCGTTGCAATGCAAAGCGGAATTCGACTCACACGACGATACTTTCTGTTGGCAGTAGCATGTAACGCTGACCGTATCACCACCACGACGACGACTACTACCACTAGCATTCTTCGATACAGCCCCTTGCAGCTGTCACGACGTGATCATGAGTTTGGTCTTTGATGTGCCGGCTGCCACTAGTGACTGTCTTCAGCGGTGCGCTTTGGCTCTTCTTGAGCTTATCCGAGAAAGCCCCGTCTGATGCAAGCTGAGTGGCAACGGTACCATCAGACCGCAGTGCAGCGAACGAGAAAGAAGTAGCCCGAATCCTGAGGATGGACACACATTGGCATGCTAACGATGTTTCCTCAACATTAGAGGTTGATCCCGGGGGTTCCGGAACTCCAACAAACAGAAAAACCTAAGTTTTTGAGCTCAGGGAAATTGAAACTCATGCTCTGAACGGTCTGGAAAACAGCAAGCATCGTCTGCACATTGTGAAGTTGATGCTGCACGGCCCAGCCTGACAGAGTCAGTGTTACTCCACCAGCTTACTGCAAGCCCCCGTATGCTCCGACACCTGGGCCTGCAGTCTTCAATTTCGGAAATATTATACGCGCCACTGCCACCGAAAGCCAGCGCTGCAAAATCCACCCTCAGCATAATGACTTCCTTCTCGCCGAAGCTGCTGTCGCCGCCCTTGGATGGGTGACCCCAGGTGAACACCGAGCCGTCCTGCCCGCGCGACGGTCACTTTGCAAGTCCCAACGAGAGAGAATGTCGCGGCCCTGCGGAGAGCTAGGGCTTTCACTGTTTTCACGAACGCGGAACGATTCAACCTGTGCATGAAGAAAAAGCAGCATCGTTTTCGACAAACAGCGCCCACTGAGCACGAATGTTGTGTGGCTACTACGTGGAAACCGATAGACACCTATCAAGGCAGTGAAGTCTCGACAGCCGATTTACAGCCTAGGGCCTATGACAATGAACAAACAGCTCATCACTACACCACATTACACTCTTGCCTGAAATTCCGACAGTGTAGTCAGCCTTCGAGGACCGCGAGAACCTTCAACTCTTAATCCCTCTGAATGCTTCGCCTCGCGCAGTGCCGCGAAGGCGCCGTCGTCCGAGCCGTAGAGCTCACTCCTCGGTTCTGCATGTTCTGCATGCGAAGAACCACTACTGGTAAAACCGAGTAGCTGCGGAATGTATGCATGGAATACCGATCAGTTCTACGTGTAAGTCTGCCAGCCAGGTCAATACTGGCTTCTCCTTAGCGCTCCTCGCCATGTTTCATGCAGTGGCCGGGTGCGTTGCGTTGCCTCTCGCGGTCGCAGTATGTTAGCCTCGGAGCCTTGCTTCAAGGTGTTTGGGGCCCTCTGGGCCGAGACTAAGGTCCAAGACTTGGGAAGGTTTTGCTTCAGCTTGAGAACAACACAGGATCCAAGACAAGACTTGAACAAGACAGTGGTGTGGCAACTAGCTTATGCGATTGTGACCTCGACCTCTGGGCCAAGGGGCACTTCACGAAGGCCGGGATCCACCCCAGGGCCTTCCTTTGAGGCCTTACCCCAGGTCCTGACCTCAAAGCATGCAGGGCCGAAGAATTGGGCCGTAGGATTTGACTCGCCTTGAGGGTCTACGTCTAGGGCATCTGAACGGTGCATGTCGGGGAAAATGGGTCTTGCATGTTGTTTCGGGATCCCAATCGGTGGCAAAGATTTTCAGACGGATATAATGCTTCGAAGCACGGGCCCTGATATTATCGCGCTATTGCTTGAAGCATCTGAGCATGGAGCAGTGGCACTTGAGAATTGTCGAACTATTGTCTGAGCCAGGTGAGCGCTTCGGCGGCAAAATCGCCGCTTTGATGTATGTGCACGAGTAGCTCGACATGGCATCCGGCCGCAGCGGCCACAATACTGAGCAAAGGACCGTGCCATCGCCGACCAGCTCGGTGTAGGCTGGGCCAGACTTCACCTTGTTATAGAGAGGCATATCATGATAATAACATTTATGTCTTCCAGCAGATCGGTAGTGTTGGCGAGAGATAACTTGTTGCAGATTCAGTTGAGCAACTGAGGAAGTCAGGAAAATCCATTTTCTTGCATGCACTGCTCTGTGATGCGGTTCATTTCCATGAAACACCCTTGATTGGGCGCCCTTCTAGGCTTGATACGTTGCCTCCAACCCCTGCTTCGGCGAGAGATAGGTTGTTGCAGATACAAAGCAGCTACGCCTAATTTATATACTGAGGAAGACTCCGGGGGCGGCGGTCTCCCTCCTCCAGCCCCTCGACGGGCACGGGGCCCCCGGGTCTTCCGCGGACGGAAGGTGCGAAGCTGAGGAGACCGACCACCAAACTTCGGTTCCCCCACTGCGGGAACCCTCCCCCTCCCACGCCCTCCGGGGCACGAGGGCGCTTGTCGCCTGACGCCGGTGATTGGCTTTATGATTGGATGGCTGCATTCTACCTGGATGGCACTGGCTCATGCTGCTTTGTGGAGACGGTGAGGTTTCCGGTTCTGGGCTGGTGACCGTTCGTTCCCTGTTGCATGACTTCATGTTCCTTCCTGGTTTGTGGTAGTTTACCAGTGCTTGAGAGAACAACCCAGGAGTCTTGAGCCTCTTACGTGTTCTCCGATGGAACGCTCACACATCCCTCACGGGGCTTCGGTGGTTTACATTTAAACACCTTACAGCGCAGTGCACTCCTTGACGTCGCCTTTGCGCTTGATGTTGGAGTGGGCCAGTCATCAGTGTTGATGAGAACACCCTTGCCTGCCCTTTCCATGTATGTGTGTGTGTGTGTTCTCCGACGGCACGATTACACAGCCTTCTTGGGGCTTCGATATTTATATCTACGCCTAATACTACGCAGAGCACTCTTTGACGTCGCGCCCGCGCTTGATGTTGGAGTGGACGGTCCTGTATTCTATTTTGGCAGGATTTCTCTGCCCTTCATATGCCTTCATATTTACATTCGGCTGCTTTGTCTCTGGGACCGCTCGCAGTTCGAAAACCCGGAAGGTTGCTTTCTTCCGATGACGACTTGACGCAGTCGGGGACATCCTTTTTTCTGGCACTCACTGCGCTATGCTGCAGTTCATTTATGTTCATATCCATGCAACACCCTTGATTGGGCGC